TAAATTTAATCTATTAATTTAATTTTTCTAGCATTACTTTAAAAAGATGGATCTCTATCTCCATATCTCTCTCTCCTCTTTCTTCTTTGGGAATTATCTCTCCTCGTTTTTCCTACCTCTCACATTCTCTGTCCTTCCTACCTCTCTTTATCCTTTGTCCTTCTTCCTACCTCTCTCTCTCTCTATCTCTCTCTCTCTCTCTCCTCCTCCGCTTCTTCGTCCTCTCTCTCTCCTATTTCTTATTCGTACTTTTCTCTCTTCTCTGTTTTCTAGATTTGTTAAGTGTTTTTTATTTCTTTTATGAGAACAACTGGAACATTTGATTTTTTTTGAAATTATTTAGTTTTTGAGGTTTTGATGATTTAGGTACATAATTTTTGAAACTGATATTGTAAAAATGCTAGAATTTTGAAACTTCTTGCAAAATTCTTAGAATTTTTAAACTGATTTTGTAGAAATGCTAGAATTTGGAAACTAATTTTGTAGAAGTACTAAAATTTTTGAAAATGATCTTGCATAACTGTTGGATTTTGGAAATTGATATGCAAAAGTGTGGAAAATTTTGAAATTAATCTTGCAGAAATGCTAGTATTTTGAAATTAATTTTACGGATGTAAACTTAGTTTGAAGTTTTTATAGATGGTGTCAATTTGTAGTTTTGGCTTGGTTAAGTAACAAGTCTATTGGGAGCACGAGTGGAATTTTAAATTTTGGGTTTGCTTGTTTTGTGCTAGGTTTGTTGGAGTCTGGGTTTTTGTCTCTCCTTGAAATAATTCGAAACTAGTGGAGTTATATGAATGTATTCTATGTTTTTGTCTCTATAGAAAAAGCTCTTGCAAATAAAAGCTTCAATAAAAAAATCATAAACGAAGTTTTTGTGTAATTTTTCTTATGGCATATATCATTGAATAATATAGAAAATGTATAAGTTGAGATGAAAAATAAACAATTTAATTGTTGAAAAAAATTAAAATCGAAAGTCTATATGACACACCCTGATCCCGATATTTCCCTAATACCAGGATGAGCACGTATTAGCCGACACCCAAGGATGATGAAGCCATTTTAAACATGCCTATAAAGAAAATACGTAATTAGAACGAAAATGCTAATACAGGAACGTGTTCAGAGCATAAAACTAATTAAGAATAATATGAAAGAATTATAATAAAAAGGTATGAACGAAGGGAATGGTCATACACTGAGAAGACTCGAATATACCTATGTGGACGTACCCTGACATCGGGATTGTGTGCCTCAAATCTAACTCTTGAGGGGGCGTAAAACAGAAAAAGTGAGTGGATCCTAACTTATAATAATAATACTAATAAGAAAATCATTTTCTTTTTTAACATACTAACCCCCTGTTTTGAAAATCCATATAGTACTACGTATAGTAAATTTTCTGAAAACTTTAACGTGCCATGAAATCATTTGTAAAACATGTATGCGTAAAACAACGCTCGGATATGGTAGTAAAACCACCCGAAGGCAAATCCGTAAATCTCATCCATACTGTACTCTCTAGAGGTATCATAGTCGCCCAAAGGCAATACATGTCTATCACCCAAAGGTGAAGCTGTACGACACTGAGTTACGCCAGTGAAGAAACATGGTAGGCCCCATCACCCAAAGGTGAAGCTGTACGACTCCGGATTATGCCGTAGAATAAAATATATACATCACACACTGATATTAGCCGTGGCAAGTGAAGCTGTCCAACATTGGTTTCGCTAGTGAAGTTGGGGGTATGGCATAAATATCTCACTCCTCATTTGCCCGAAGGCAGTACCTGTCCATCACCTGAAGGTGAAGTTGTATGACACTGGGTTACGCCAGTGAAGAAATATGGTAGGCCTTATCACCTGAAGGTGAAGCTGTACGACTCTGGGTTACACCAGAGAAGAAATATATACATAGATATCCTCAACTGTGTCATATGGCCATAAAAATCTACATACTCATGTTGTGTGGATGTGTTGTATGATAACCCGCTAGATAAGCACCGAAAGATACCTCAAAACTTCATATCAAATCCAAAGCTCACAAGCTCAAAGCCTTATTTCATAAATCCATGATATCGTACATTCATAAATCCATAAAATAAATAATATTCGAAAGCCATAGAATTTCATATACGAGAACCCAATAATTCATATCCTTTTGTAAAACATAAATTCGATAAATCATAAATATCCCGTAAAAGCAATTTAATTAAATCATAAGTATGAAAATCCAGAAAACATATTATAAATCATGCTCCATTCATGTAATATGCAATGTAAGCAAGCCTAATATTTTATAAAAACATGCAAGTTTAGAAGGGGTCCACTCACAAATGTTTCATTGCCTGGGAACCACTCGAGCTAGCGAGAATAGAGTCACTTTATACCGATGCGCCTAACCACAATTAGGAACCATTTAGTAAAACCTAAATGATAGAATTTGGGAAAACGGACAGCGAATTCAGATTCGGCACGTTGAAAAACCTAAGGAAGGACCTTAGGTTTTCCCTTACGTGTCGCCGCATAAGCCGCCACGAGGTGGCGGCCCGGAAGGCCACGTGCCGCTGCACACAGTTGCCGACAGTAAAATTCAACAACTCTAAAAATTCTCAAATTTGATAGGAATGAAAATCTCAATGAGAGAAACAACTTTCATACTTGGACCGAAGTCCAATTCGGCCGGGAATTGGCCTGAAAACCACCACGAACCGTTGGAACCCTAGAAATGGGTGGTTATTGATTCTTCTCCTCAGATGCTTTGCTGCCCCCAAACTTGCTTAGGGTTTGTTCTTGGCCTCCAGGGAAGTTGAACCATGGTGGTGGTCGACAGTGATGATTGCAGAAAAGACGAATCGTCATCGTGGTGTCCTCAAAGCCGTCGGCTTCGATCTTCATGAATTAAGGCCCAATTCCTTTGATTTTAGGGTGAAATGTGAAGAATGATAGTTGTGGAGTTGGTTCTGGGTGGTGGTTCGATGAATTTCGCTTGAGAAATGTTGTGAAAGGCGTCAGGGTGTGCGTACGAATCAAGTTGAGGAACCGGGTCAAAAGGAAAGGACCGGGTTCCCCTCCTTCTCTCATTTCTCATTTCCCCTCCTTGCTCTCTCTTCTGATTGGTCAGCATCCAACACCTCATTCCCGATTGGGTAACAACCCCCCTCATTTTTCTCCTATTCTTTCCATCACAGCCACACACGTGGCACCAGATTGATGCTCCAACAAAATCTAGAGCCTTCCAGATTTATGGTCAAATGACCATTTTGCCCTCAACTTCATTCATTAATAACTCTTTCGTTATAACTCCAAATTACGTTCCACTTACGCCCATGCGTTCGTAACGCTGAGTACTACAAAAATATGCCAAGAAAAGGAATATTACATGACACAACAAGGCGAACAACAAAAATCAACGCATTTGCCTCGAAGGGCATTTTCATAATATCACATTTTAAAATTATAAAATTCATAATATTTGGGGACAGGTCATTACACTATATGTAGCAATTAGTGTAATTAACATTGACGTCACGCCCGGTTTTATGTTAGGTATATGCAAAGGTCTTTACGAAATGCTAGCAATCTTCTCATTTACTGACTTACCTTTTTTATTTCTACTCATGTCATATGTATTCCATGAAGGCACAAGACTAAAATTTAATTACTTTTTTAATGACAAATTACAATTTTAATTATACTAACTAGTACATGCCCACACTTAAAGAGAGTGAGATTGTGAGAGAGAACATGGGAGTAGGGAGGGAGGGAGTTAGAGAGGTTTTTTTTTTTTTGTTATTTATTTATTTATTTAATTAGAGATGATAAAATCACATATAGGTGAGACTTAAACAAAAAGCATCAAAATTTTGTTTTATGAAATTACGTTACTGTTCTTAAATTTTTTATTGTGATAAAAGACAAAAATATCTTTTCATATTTTTTTGATTAAGAAAAAATATTTCATTAATACGTAATTTAGATAAAGGAATAAGAAAATGGTGAGATTTTAATAGATATATTTTTTTTTGAAAAGTAAGTTGGTAGGTCATAGTATTAATGGTTAGGAAGAAAAAAAAATCGATAAATATAATTACTATAAAGTATAGTCATGATTGTTTTTGCCATTGCGCTACCGCACCTTCTGCTATAATATAATTAAAATTTTAATTTTTAGTGCCATTGAAGTCTACGTGACAAGAGAGGTGAAAAGAAAAAAATAAGAAGGTTGTTATCAGCATTGCTGTAAGTGGTGGTACGATTTTATTAAAAAATTGGTGATTTTGTGTAAATAGTGCGTAAATGATGAGGCTCTAACTGAAGCAAGGATGTTCGCGCCAAACCACGTGGACTCGCATTGGCTCTATCCGGCTCAGCATCCACCACGCGACTCCCATGCAAAACGTGCCACGCTCAAGAGTAAATATCCTTGCCTGGATTACACGCGCTACCTTCTAACCGTTGAATGTTTCTACTGCAAAAAACACTAGAGAGAGAGAGAGAGGAATATGCTTTATAACAAAAAAATTATCTCAAATCTGTATCACTCTTTATTTTGATATCTGAAATTTAAAATCAATAAAAGTGATTTCTGAGTTTGTAAAGGCGTGAAAACTTTAAATTTTAACGATCTCGACAAAATTAAAGGTAAAATAAATAGTATTAGGTTTGATTTTTTAGTGTAAAAATATGATTTTTCGTTAAAATAAACAGTACTGTGAGCTTTTCATCAAAACTCTCATAATTTTAATCATTCCATGAAAAATTATAGTAAATAAAGATCAAAATAATAAAAATACACTCAATTTAATAAATAATTGACCAAATGATTGATAAATATTAAGAATATTTTTATCATTTTAACCTTATTTAATAAATTTTTTTTATAAAATAACCAAAATAATTGATGATAGTTAAACTCAAAATTACTTATTTTCAAATCTTATAATCAAATGAAAGAGTTACACAAATCTCGACTAAAAAGCCTTATCTATATATCTCCCGTATGCATTGTAGGTAGAAATCCTCGAAGCCGTGCCTGTCATTTTTCTTGTCTCACTGAGTTGAGCTGAGTTGAGTTAACTCGTCGAGTTCGTTTCTCTGGATCGACAAGGAGATGGAAGGATTCAAAGAGAACCCTTCTGAGATCCACAGGTTTTTAATTTCTGGGTTTTTATTTATTTTTTGCTTAACTTCATCCTTTTTAATAATTTTTCAGATCAATATTTGTTTGTTAATTGTTTGGCTTAATCAAGTAGCTAATTTTGATGAGCTGATTAATTGTTACTGCTGAGTTCATCTGCATGTAGCCAAGTTTAGAACGTGTTATTAATTACTTATCATTTTTGGGATAATTATAGGAAGCAATTATGAGGTAGAGATGAACTGGATCCCCAACTGTTGCTTCCCTGGCCTCAGTTGCTCAATGATTCATGTTCAAGATTGATTTTTTTAATTTTTTATTCGAGCGATATTCTAATTAATCTGATCCAAACTAAGAGGAGAAAGACTCGAACTTGGTGACCAGGAGAGCAAATTGTTCTAACCAACTTCGCGACGCCTTTTATAGTGGTCAATTCTTAATTTCCACTGGGGAAGTTGGGCTAAGTGGTGTTTGAATGACCGTAGAAGTCTGATTGATTCTGAATTTAGTTTATTTATGTTTTCACTGTTTTTGTTTGCTGAAGTTGAGTACTTTTATACCTTTCAGTTCTGTGGATTTAAATATATTCGGGTTTTCTTTTTCTTTATTTCGTTGTTGTGGTATATTAATTGCGTTTCTGTCCCATATGTATATTTGTTCTTGATGTTGATCAGTTTCGTATGCTTAATTTTTTGGTGATTGGACTAACTTCCACTTTGTTTTAGATGAGACTCAATGGAAGACCTGTTTGGTACTTCTTCTTTAGGAAGCACATATGCTCATATGTGTTTTTTGCTAGAAGTGCTTTTAGTAGATCATGTCAAAAACCCATGCTGGTGTTTCTCCATTAAGTGCTTCTATAATCCTGAAGCACTGTTAAGTTTTTCAGTCAAATGTAGGGGCCAGGGGGTAACGCTTTGGTTGTCAGAAAGCGCTTTTTCCAGAAGCATTCCCAAACAAGGCCCGTGTCGACCTTATCCCTCTTTTTGTTATAAACCTAGGAAACCTGAAATAGTTGGTTGTTCTTGTTTGGCAAAGTTTTATTGGTAATTGCAGCTTTTCTCATCCTTGTTCTGCTATTACTGTCTTAAACAGTTTCCCTGTCATGAATGTTCTATGTCCGATGAAGAAAAGAAAATTTCACGGTGAGCAATTGGGCTTGCCAATAACAAAGAACAGGTGCTTGGAACGAGTATTTCCATCTGATAAATCCATCTCCATGTTTGATGAAAACCTTGAAGTAAAGAACATGATAAAACAGACACTGAAGAGAAAGATAGACGGGGCATCCCTGGATGACGGGTCTGAACCTGATTCGGGAAGAGGTAGCAACAGTTTCGTTGGAGATTCTGATTCTGCAACGTCGGTTTATGGTGATACAAAACTTGGACCCGTGTATGCACAGACATGCCAATATGATAGGCCTTCCACTTCATCAGCGAACGGCATCAGCCATAGTGCAGATGAACTAAAATATGCGAACGGAGACCATCAACCTATGGATCCTCATGGTGAAATACAAGAATTTCAGAATCTTGAAGAGCACATCCAGGAATTTGGAGACCAGGTGGATTACATTTTCGCAGAATATGGAGATGACTGCATTGAGCAATGTGTGGACGCGGGTTACGAAGATCTCATCCACCCGAACGGTTTGAACCCGAACACATATGTACTTTCATCGGGAAGATGGAATGTGAACCAAGATAATTCAGGTGTTTTATTGAAAGTTTCTGCTTTAGGAATTTCTATCTGCGTTTACATGTGGAATTAATCTTTGTTTTTTACCATTTACTGAGTGGCATAGAACTTTCGTCGTCGTGTTTGCAGAGGCTGAATCAGGCAGCAGCAGGAAGCCAACCATCGATCAAGAATTCGAGCAGTATTTTTCCTCCCTAATGCTGTAGAATTCATTGCTTCACAGCAATAGATCTGTAAATTTTTTTTAAATTTTTTTATAAATATGTTGACGAGGTTTAATCATAAAAGAGTTTTGGTTATGGCACACCAGGGAGGTTCAGCTCTTTTTTCATTAAACGATAAGATATTTATAAGGCTGATCGGATGACCGACCTTCTACTCGATCACACGTGCAATCCAGTGAGTGGGATTTATACACTTCGTCGAACCATCCAATATAAATTATGTTTAACTTCGCTTCCGATGTGAAACTTTACATTCTTCAATAGTATGAAGGAATACTTTCACTCCAAAAACATTACATGATGAAAAAAGCATCTCTTCGGAGAAAGAGAAAATCCGTAATTATTATTTTCAAGACTCAAATTATTATGGCTATTAAGTTAATGCCAAAAGGGAGGAAAATCAACACAAGATCACTCAACAAAAAGGAAATCCGAGCAGATGGCAAGTCAAAATCAACACTTTGGTAGATCGGACGGCGGAGGTGGCAGCTTTTGATTCGCTTGCGGTCCATCCTGGACGATCCACGCCATCTTCAGCCCCCAACTTGTATGGATATCCAAGTGACAGTGCATAAACCACACCCCTAACACATACCATTAAAAAAAGTAGTAATTTACTTGTTAAGACAGTTCGCCATGTTATATTACTAAACTGTGAATTGTGAATTGAGCGTACCTGGATTGTCTGCCATGAAACGAACCGCAATCCAGCCACCAGCCGGAACACCAGCCGTGTTCCTTTCGACAGGGTCCACCAGATTAAACTTAGCAGGGTCCTTGTTAGGATCATAGTTCCCAATTCCCTGTCCAACTATATAGAAATTAAACCCATGTAGATGGAGAGGGTGGCTCTCGGCACCAAGAATGCTAGTGTCCTGCAGCACCAGCTCCACACTTGTGTTGAATGGCAGCACCAATGCCTTCGTGGCATTTGCCACATTTGTTACGTTTGGCGGTGTTCCGGTATAGTTAAATTTAACAAGCGGATTGGCCGGAAAATCTGTGGTGTAAATTCCATTGGACTGTCCAGAAAAATGTGCTTGAAGCATTGCTGTTGATGGAAGGGCAAAAGAGAAATTGTTAATAGAAGCTGCAAATTTTAGGCCATTGGGTCCTTGGCAAGTTGAGTTTTGGGGACATGGGGATGTTCCAAGTCCTACGGTGAAGAAAAAATTTCGGTCCACGGTTTGGGGAACGTTGGCTGGGAATTTCTTGGAGGCCAAGCTACGGAATTTATTGGCCAAGTTTAGGACGAATTGGGTGACATTGACAAACTTGGTGGCGTTGATGGGTGGAAGACTTGGTTTGAAGAGAGGAAGGGTTTTGATGGAAGCGTGATGAGTGGTTACCGGGTGCTCGTATTCAAGGATTCCTGCCGTGGTGGTGTTGTCTAGGGTTCCAGCGCCGGTGAAGTAAGGCCTTGCGAGGATGAGGAAGGTGGCATTGGGAGAATTGGGCTTGGTTTTGAGGAGGACGTTCGTGGTTTGGCCTGGGGTGATGAGAAGCGTGTCGGTTTCAAAGGGTTTGGTGTAGACAGCATCGGCTTCAACCACCGTGAGAGTGTGGTTGGCTATGCTGAAAAACAACTCGTCGTTGAGTGCAGCGTTGATCAATCGGAGGAGGTATGTCTTCGCTGGTTTCACCTTCAGCTTGAATACATCTGCAAAAAAACACCCACCCACGTAAAAATGCATTATAATATAATTTGTTATGTTTTCAAACAGATTGACAAGTTTGCATTCTAATTCATAGTCTGACAACATAATAGGAAAAGAGATCATCTCTGAATCTCTTCCACCAAGGCCACTGAATCAAGTGATCCGGGGCCTTTCAAATTTCATCCAACAGCCCACCTGTTTTGATCCCTTAAAAGCTGTAATAATTTTTGGCCGTTGGATAAATTTTGAAAGGCCCGGATTACTTGATTTGATGGCCTTGGTGGAAGAGATCCGACTCACATAATAGTATGTCAAAAACACACTACCTTTTGACGAACAATTGTATAAGGGGCCTGGAAGACCGTTAATGGTGTACGCGTCCGAAACGTTAGGCCCTCCACCGGTCTGAAGAGCTTGATTAATCACAGCCTCAGGGTCTACATTAAACCACTCTCCTGCAACAAATCCAAGTCCATGCTAATCAAAACAATTTCCAGAAACATTAATGTCCAAATTTTTACAATTACCACAAATTCTAGCTAGCTTGCTATACTTAATTACCAAGAAGAATGGGGACCTCCTTGTAGGGTTTCATAAAAGGGTAAGACTCATTGAGCTTTGGGAGAATGATGATAGGTCCATAGAGGGTGGATCTCAGCCATGAGATGTGAGCATGCCATAGGAGAGTCCCTCTCTGGCCTTGGATGGTAAAGTTGTATGTGTATGACTGGCCTGTTTGTATAGGGCATTGGGTAATGTAAGCTGGACCATCTGCCCATCCACTTCTAAGTTGTCTCACCCCATGCCTGCTCTCACATACAAAACAAACGCAAACTTGAATTAGTAGTTTTGCTTCATCCTTTCACCCTCCACATTTGCTAATTCAAATAAATGGATTTTGGATGATGCAGATGTGAGTTAAGTTGGTTAGAATAACATTTGTTTTTTTATAGCCGAGTTTGTATCTCCTTCATAGATTAAAGTAGTTTAATATATCGCCTTATTAAAAAGAATAAATATATTTTATACAAGAAACTTGTAGCTCAAGTAAATAGAGCATTTAACCATGCAACTAATGTCCGGAGTTTAATATATTTAATAAACAACTAAATAAGGTAGATTTCATACCAATGAATGGTGACATTGTTTGAAATATGATTGACCACTTTGATGAGGACTTGGTCACCTTCCCTTGCCACCAATCTAGGCCCTGGGAATTGGCCATTCACACTTACAATGCTCCTTGTGTTGCACAATCTGGTCACGTTATGGTACTTAACCTGTATATATATCGATAAAAGAAAACAGTTACAAACTAGTGAAATTAAATTTAGGGAAAAAAGTAAAAAATGTAGTTTAAATTAAAATATTGAGGCTCTCAAGTTGTGATGAAAAAATGTACGTTGAAAGTGTAGTGCCTTGTTATGCCAACGGCAAACTCCGGCATCAACGATGCCACGATACAAAAACCGAACAGCAAAGGTGCCATTGAAGTAGAACAATGAAGGTGAGAAGAACCCATTTGTCTTTCTCTCTCTCTCTCTCTCTCTCTAGATTGATACAATGAGAGTGTAATATTGTGAAGAGATAGAGAGTCGAGGTACCATAATATAGGAGAGTTTGGATAGAGATGGAACGAAAATGTAATTGTTCATTCAACTTCACTGTTGAGATGGTTTCTACTTGTTTGCTCCGCTTTGCTGTTGGTCGAGCTGAACTTTAGAGTGTGGATTAAGTAAAATTTTACCAGTTCCATCAGTACTAATCTCCGAATAATCATAATTAGCTTTTGCTGTTTGCTTATTGGAGGGACGTTAAGCAGAAACCAAAGTTCATGTTGTGGTCAAGAAATTGTCAAGTTTTCTTTGATTATGAAGTTAAACATTCAATTCATTTGTGTTTTAGACGTCACATTATTTAGGAAGCGAGCATCTTTCTTTTCCTATTTCGTCTTTGAATCCTAACTACACAACACAGTGCTGCTCTTCTTTCTAAGGCGGTTGCTTTCAACTAATACAATTAACATGGTGTCAATGTAATTGAAGTTGCAATGAAATTGGATGCTTGTGAAACATAATATAATACGTTATATTGTTAAATTGTGAATTTATATCACACGCTAAAAAGAATACATAGTTAATTGTTTGGAAAATGTATTTAATAGTTTGTCTCTTAACAGGGCGATAATAACCAGTTTTTTTCTTGGAAGTATCGATATTGGTCGACTGACACTGAATTTTTTTTGTTTCCAATCTATGCAGTTGAATAATTAACCCTGTCGAGAATGGGATAAAAAATTGGAGAAGAAATTTTGATGAAAACGGTGTGAGTTGAACGGCCTTTGAATGAGTGATAACGCATCTGAACGAAATCCGCAAATTAACGTTCGAATGCGAAAATCTATTATGAACCAACTTATATGGTCGGATGACCAATAACGCATTTAGACAAAATCTGTTAAGGGGCCATGGGCATGAATTATTTGTTTTTCAAATTGGTTTGTTTGATACATATGGATAGTTGGTTAAATGGTCTCCAAATTGAATGAACTTTTCTAGAATCAGTTTTTAGATGATGATAAAAAGAATGAATGATTTCAATTATAATGTTTGCATAACAAAATAATGTCACATTAGATAAATGACTCAATCCATATTAATATTCAAACAAGAGAATTTAAGGGAATCTATCGAATAAAGTTAAAGTTATACTATAAAACCAATTAGCAATATGAGGAGTATCACAATTTACTTATAAATTCATGCAAGGTCTTTCCTTTTATCAATGTGAGATTCATTATCAACATGTCTTTTCATGTGTGATGAATTTTCAAGCTTAACATATGAACAACGCAAACAGGATAACGTAGAGCATATGTGGTCATTGGGCTTCACATCTAGGTCAACCTCTAATACCCATAAAGAAAGTTGAAATTCCACAATAAAACCCATTGACAATATAAGAAGCAACCCAATTTATTTATAAACTCATACAAAATCTTTCCTCGTGTTTGAGTGAGATTCATTCCCAACACATCTCCTCTCCCTCAACAAGCAAATGGTCAACATCCCAAGACTTGCCCTGGAGCCCTAAAAGTAGTCAATGGTTTGAACATAATGATTTTTTTTTGGTCGAGGGAGCGTAATGATAATTGTAGCTTATTAGTGGGGCTATAGGTAAGGTCTCTTTATTTGCAATCTTTACTTGGGCCTCCCGTGGGCCTGTCCACAACTGTTCTGTCTTGGAATCTAAGGAATAAATTTATCACCATTTTAAATCATCCACATCCACAACATTCTCTCATCCTCTCGAAAACATCCGGTGGACGTGTTCTGGGTGGTCTACCCACCTATCCTAATCGTTGGATGAGAGTGATGGCCCATCCGATCTGTGCCACGTGTGAAAATCACCAATATTATGTAATATGTAGAAGTAATTTTCTTTTTTTAGTACAACAACATATTTTACATTAAGAAGAGGGACAGTTCGGCCACACAATGAGCAAAATAATTTATTATTAAATTTGTCATTCACGATATTCGAATTTAAGATCTCTCACTTATAAGTGAAGAGAAATACAACCAAACTGTAGTACTGAATGATAATATATAAAAGTATTAGATAGTCTAGTTATACAACTTATACATATATGTGGGAAAAGGATCCGGTGAGGATCCTTTTCCTGAGGATTATGGAGATCCTGTGATTGTGACAGTTCATCGTACATCGTGCGGTCAATTTTTGTTAAGTATTATTTATATTTCTGATTACACAATGTACGATGAACAATCACGATCATGGGATCCCCAGAAAAAAAAATTCGGCAAGGATCCATGCGGTTATATGTGGTCTAACAACCAACATAAATTTCTTTGATTTCTAATTTTCTAATATTTATGACCCATCCATATCAAGCTTTTCAAATGAAACTTGAGCTGGATTTTGCTTCATCTTCACTTGCAAAGAAAATATTTTTCATCATGTATTTGGAAAGCATTGCATTCTATGTATCTTTTCCTCAATTACTTAGATTTGTAGTAAAGAAAAACAAAAAGGGTATACAATATTTGTGAATACGCAAATGTGGTAATGCATATAATCGACACAATCACATTATTCAATAAGCTTCATTTCTTCGTTCCGATGTTCTCTATCAAACGGAAAGTTTGTTCTATTCTCGCAAGGTTATCCCCAAAAACAATTATATTATACTAAAAACCTAAGTCTGCTAGTTACTTTGACTATATCTCTCTTTATTTCTACAACGCTCATAGTGTTTGTAGCCCCAACAACGTTCATAGTGTTTGTAGCCCCAAGTTATATTCCGATTGTCGAACAAATTCTCTTATCAAAACACGTAAATTATTTATTTTCATGTAATTGAAAAGACTGCAAAATTTTATTTTATTGTTTTCATCTTTTGGGCATTCCACATTTCTGCCACTACCCTTGCTTCACAATATATGCAAAAAGAAGGGAAATTATTCCAAAAGCAAAAAACTATATACCGTGGAAACCAACAAATAAAATCATCTTGTATTAACAAATTGAGCTTGCTACGGACACGACTGAGTTCTCGGAGGCAGAGCAAACAGAGCATCAAGGTCCGGCGGCTGGAAGTACCCATTCTTCAGCGGCTCCCGCTTCTTTTCTCCAGCCGCCTTCTTCTTCAGAGGCGGCGGACACATATTCACCTCTGGAATTCGGCATTCTCGCCACTTCGGCGTCGTACAATCTTCCTCCATTTTCAATCCAGCTCATCCTCACTCGATCGGTCACTCTTCAAATATGTAGTAGACGACGGAGCGCGCGGTTTATATAAAACTTTCAAATTTGCAAAAAAAAGAAAATTGGAAAATGGGAATGGCAGCTAAGCATGAGCGGGCGGGACAATGTGTTAGACTGTTACTGGGAGTTTGTACTTACGTGCATTTCCACGTGGCACAAATCCAGCGGATTCTGTATATTTTTCTATATTTAATGTCTGCACCAACTTTGGGTCGGTCATTTGCGCAGGAAATTGAGACATAGTTTGGGAGTGAGGTGCTTAAAAAAAAAGCACCCATGAAAAAAAGCTGTGAGGGTTTTAGGTGTTTGGTAAACTGAAAAAAAATGGCTTATTTTGGAAGCTGCTGTGAGACTAAGCTGAAATCAAAGGAAAAAGCTGAAGCTGCTATTTGCAGCTTTGGAAAACTGGCTTTTTTTCAAAGCACACAGAGCTACAGTGCTTCTTTAATGAAAAGACCCACTATTAGACTGTTTTTTTTTTTCCAAAAATACTTTTACAAAAAAGTTTACCAAACACTCTGCTTATTTATTTCACAGCCGCTTATTCTCACAGCACAGCCGCTTATTCTCACAGCAGCTTTTTTTCAAAGCACAGCAATACCAAACCAGCCCTGAATCCGTTTGAATGTGTTTTGGTGGGCTGAAATTTAAATTAAATGTTTTGTGGTCCAAGTGGAATTTTAAGGGTAGGCCTTGGCCTATACGGCTAATGGGCCATGTCCTTAAAACGTGGAGTTATTATTAGTTTTAAGTCTCTGGGCCCACTTTTCATTAAAATAGGCAGACATAAAATGGGTTTTACTTTGGATGCTTGCATCTAGGAGTGCACAATGGAATGAGAAGGCCCAATACCATGTAACGCTGTAAACCCAATTGAGGCCCATGACCAACCAAATCCTCTCAAAGTATGGGTCCAACATGATGGGAGTGTTGAAGAATGTGCAATTTATATTGAATGGTTTCATTACTATTATACTAAGGTATTTTTATGATAAAATTATACTCATTAGACCGCCTTTTATCAAGTTAGAGATAATATATGTGTTGGACCAATAGCAATGGTCACTAGACCGCCTTTGAAATCTTGACACAAGCAAATTGAGGTTCATATCACACACTGTGTTGCAAAGTAGTTTGAATTTTCTAATGCCTCAAATCCTCCACTAGTAGAAAAAACACTTTGCGCGACGTAGGTACCTTCGTCGTGCAAAGTAAAAAATCGTTGCCTAAGGGTTTGCGCGACGTAACCTTCGTCGCATAAAATTTGTCATGGCAAAGCAGTGACAATAGAGTTTGCACGACGAAGGTATAACATGCGTCGCGCAAGGCCACTTTGCACGACGTAGGTTCTGCGTCTCGCAAAGAGTCCTTGCGCGACACATGGCCTACGGCCAGCAAAGAGTCTTTGCGCGACGCAGAACCTACGTCGTGCAAAGTGGCCTTGCGCGACGTAGGACCTACGTCGAGCAAAGTGTCTTTATGCGACGCAGGACCTACGTCGTGCAAAGTGGCCTTGCGCGACGCATGACCTACGTCGAGCAAATGGTCTTTGCGCAACTCAGGGCCTACGTCGTGCAAAGTTGCCTTGCGTGACGCGACCTACGTCGCGCAAACCCTTTTTTTTTTTTTTTTATGTTTTAGTCAAAACTATTTTTTTTTTAATTTTGATAAATATTGTAATTAAATTGTAAAGAATAATTAATCAACTAAGCAAAAGTATTTAATTATAAGATATATAAAAATGTACATACAAGATGTCCAAACAAAAAAGAAAAAACTACAAGTGA